AACCTAGATTCTTTAATACTAGAATAATTAATTACTGGTATCTTTATAAAACTACAAAAATAGGGGCGCCTGGGTGGCTCAGATGGTTAAGCATCTGCCTTTGGTTCAGGTCATGATCCCAGGGTCCTGGGATCAAGTCCTGCATCAGGCTCCCTGCTCAGTGCAGAGCCTGCTTCTCCCTCTCCCACTCCCCCTGCTTGTGTTCCCTCTCTCACTGTCTCTCTCTCTCTCTCTGTCAAATAAATAAATAAAATTTTTAAAAAATAAAATAAAACTACAAAAATAAATATGAATTAACTGTAGCCAATTTTTCAATATGGATGAGTCTCAAACCCACATTTGGGAAAAATTTACAAAATACATAACAGTTTGGTTTCTTTCATATAAGGTTCAAAAGTAAGTTAAACTAAACAGTAAGTTGCTTAGGAGTACATCCATATGTGATAAAACTATTAATGAAAAACCAGGCATTGATTATCCCAGCACCCTCTTCCCTTACTATCCTTCTTCTCCCTTTGATGGTACTATTTATTTGGCTTTCTGCTCTCCTCTTTCTCTTTACCTAATATCACCTGTTTAAATCTTACCCTGTTTTGAATAGCCAAATTTGAATACCTTTTCTCCACAATCCAGAATTTACTCAGTCTTTCTGTAATATATTACTATATTATCACATTATATTTTGTACAAGATTATTTATCTACTTGTCCATGATTCCCTTTATATTGCTACCATCTCAGAGATTTTAAGTCCTTAACTTTTTACAACCTCACAGCCTTTAGTAAAGCACCTAGAATATGTACAATTACACTCTTTTTATGAAATTGTATATTTTGACTAAAATTCACTTTATTATAAAACCCTTAAGGCCCTATAATGAGGTTAAAGGAAGGAAGAACACTTTGCTCTGTATTTTCAAATTTTTAGCCAACTATAAGGAAGAGGATTGTTTTAGGGGCAAAGCTATGAAAATGGAATTAGGAAAAATGGTTCACAGTGCGTGTGTGTCTGTGCATATGTGCACATGTGTGTGCACAGGCAAAAATACTTGAGTTTTTGAAGTAATAAATGTATCTAATTTTCAATATAAAATCATGTAACGATAGAAACATGTCCAAGCCTCTGTTTCCAAATTACTCTCACCACTCAATGAGTGTACTTTTTAACAAAGCTTTATTTTCAAACTCATTGATGAAATATTACTTTGGAAAAATAGACTTTATATTTTACTTTGGAGAAATGGACTTTTTATTTTCAACAACTGTATGCCATCTTTCCGTGTCAGGTTGGGTTGCACAGTTACTGTTTTGAACCTTGTGATAAAGCTAAAGCTTGGTCTAGGAATAGAAGTACTTCTATTATTGTTTGCTTGTGCTTCTATGAGTAAGGTTATCTTTATTCTGAATATTTATGGAAATCTTTTAAAGTCCGTTGTCCAGCTCATCTTGTTAGGGCTAGTTGAATTACAACTGGCTAATATAACCTAATGAATCTGCTTAGTTGGCCACATGTAAAGTCCACTATATGCTAACATGCTGAAAGCAAACAAGTCTGGAGGGTCTCACTGTCTGCCTTGCTCTTCGCTCAAGGCATCTGACCTAGTGAGTGATCACAGCCATCAGAGAAAAGGACTCCAAGGTCAACAGTGTCCATGCATTTGTTGGATTTTATGAAAGTTTAGTTTTTGTTCACTTTTTCACTTAAAATATCTTAACAGTTTTTCACGCATCACACAGATAATTTTGTACATTCCACTTTTGAGATCCTGTGAATTAATCTAGTGATTGTTAATGCAACATAAAGAGATGAAGAATTCACAAACTTTTTCACAGTTGATGCATACATATGATTTTCCTCTGTACTATCCCAGGTTGAGGACCGTGGTATTAGATCGCAGTGGTCATTTGCTTAGAAAGAAAAAGAAAATTCTAACTGAGTGTGAATATAAATGTGAAGATACTTGTCTAACCAGACTTTGAGACCATCAAACAACAGTAATTCCCCCAAAGGGATATTCTTTTCCTGTGTTTCTTCGTTTCTTCTTCTCCTACTTCTTAAATCATAGGCTTTAAAAAAAAACTATAAAATTATATTTAGCTGTAATTCCAACACAGGAGAAGAAATAGCCATATGAAAAGAGGTGAGAGGGAAAACCTCAGAAAAATGAGAGTGATCAGTCATGGAATTGTGAATTTCATTTTTTTAAATGAATTTTTGTCATTACTTTGAAGCCAGGCTTGAAAAATTTAGGGGTCAAGTCAGTTAGTTTTGCATTTCTTGAGCATTTTCTGGAAGCCAGAAGCTGTGCTAGGAGCTTTGTGTGCATTGTTTCAGATCTTTATAATAACCTTCCAGGGAAGAATTACAATCCCTATTTTATCATGAGAAAACCTCCTTTAAATTCAGCTAAATGACTAAGCCAAAATTTGAATGCAGGTTATGTCAGATCCAATACCCATATTGTCTCAACTACACTGAGATTGTTCAGGCCAGTTCTTTAATAAACCTGTGAAATAGTTTATGAAAAAATTTGTTGTTACTTTACCTTGGGCATGGAGGGGTTCAATAATGAGATGAGGCAAGACATGATAATGATTTTCATCATTGTATAGTGAATGTACTTTCATACTACCGGAAGGAATGGAAGGTAGTTCTTTCTCAAACTTGGTAAGTTTGGTTTTAGGCTGACCTGCGTAACAACTACACGTAAAATATTTTCTAAAAGTGTTTATTTTTTATTTTCCTGTATCTTTGAAAACTGTTGTATATGTATGTATACACTATCACATATACTTATGGAATCTGTAATTCTACATAGGTGACAACAAATCTGTTGCATATTTCATGCTCAATTAAAAAGAAATCTTACAACTTTTCTATGTATTTTGGAAAGATCGACATCAGTCCTCCATTTAATTAGGTCCATTCTGATTATGTTAAATGTGTTCTGGCTCCCATTCAGGAAATTATCTAAATATACATGAAGGAGGACCTTGTTAAAAATGAATTGTCAGCAAGACACCAGGGAGATTTAAACAAAGAAACTCCATGTAAACATAACAACAACAAAATGATCTCAAACCTGAATGCTCAGACTGAATAATAACCCTTCCCTTCATCTCTCATGACTGATCCATACAAAAATGCAAATGCAACTTGAAACCAGTAGTTTGGGAGCTTCAAGAGTTTGGTTAATTTTTCCTTCCTGTTACTTTTCACTTTGGAACACCTTTTGGCTTCTGGGATCTGACTGGAGCCAGGAGGGGAAATGCCAAAATACTATGGGGAAAGGCTTGTTCTTGGGGTAATTTAGACCTGATTTGAGTAAGCCAACTCCTGCTATAAATTTTATGTTAAAAAAGTTCTGTCTGTGAAATTTCTAGTGGGCTGAACAGATGCAAGAATTTCAGATAATAACATTTAGATAATAATGTAAAAGTAGAGAAGTGTCAGAATTCATGGAGAGCTTGAATTTAAGCTTTGGATCCTGAAGCTTGGGTTCTCTTCTTTGTTTTGCTGTTAATTCTGTGATTTTTTCCCAAACCTTTTCTCTGAATTCCTACCTTAAAAATACACAGGAGTAAGATCTCCCTGGGCCCCATCACTAGGGATATACAAGCATCCGAAGGGGGTGAAAATTCCTCTTATCATTTATTTGTTCATTTGCCCAACGAATGTTTGCTTGCCAACTATATGCCAGGAGCTAGTCTAAGTTTTGGGGATATAACTGTGAACAAAAGGAATTTTTTCTTATGGACTTTAAATGCCAGTGGAGAATAAACATGCAAATATACAATATGTTAGATTGTATTAAGTGCCATGCATAAAAGTGAATCCATGTACAAAAATATTTTATGTAGAATAGTTAGGAATGGCTTTCTGAAAAGTAACATTTAAGCAGAGACCTGATTGAAATGAGCGAGTTAGCCATATAGGTACTCTGGACGAAGAGTCTCACAAAGGAGGACCAGCAAGCACAAAGGTCCTGAAGTACCCTCATGCCTGTGTATTTGAAGCAGTGAGAACAATGTGGTGGAGATGAGTGAGCGTGGAGGAAATAGTAAAAGGCATGTTGAGAATTTGAGCAAGAAAGAAATTCTGTTACTGAGTCTAGATCACAAGCTGGCGAGTGAAAGAAATAGTAACCAGCACATTGAAATAGTTGTTATTCCACCATTTAGATTTAGGAGTACACCTGGAAGGGCTCTGCTACATGAGTTTAGAATATCAGACTGTTCCCTTCACAAATTTGTCAGAACAGTTGGCAGGGATGCAATTACAAAGGAGGAAACCTAAATGCAGAAGAAGAGGTAGAAACCTGTTGAAACAAGAGAAGGAGACGATTGATGAAAAAAAAATTCCCCCTAATTAGGCTATGCATTTTTAACAGTTCAGTCAAAATCCCAAAATGATGCTTCCTATTTCTCTTCTCCTTCCCTACCCCCTCTCTTGCTTTTCCTTGCTTCCAAAAGGTTACATGCTATATGATTTCATTATATCACATTCTTGAAATGACAAAACCACAGAAATAGAAAACAGATTAATGGTTGCCAGATGTTAAGGGCAGGGGGGTGAGAAGGAAGTGGGTGTGGCATTATAAGGGAGGCTTGTGGTAATGAGAATGTCCTATATGTTGACTCTCTTCATCCCAGTATCCTGGTTGTGATATTGTATTACAGTTTTGCAAGATGTTACCATTGGGGGAAATTAGCTCAAAGAGTCACAGGCTCTTGCTCTGTTATTTTTTACAACTGCGTGTGAAATCTTAAGTATCTCAAAATATAAGTTTAAGGGTTTCAAAAATAATGACCACCATGATCCTAAAGGACAGCTTGAGGCACCTGAACTCTGTCACTCACATCACAGTTCCCCCCCAGCACCTTTCCACCACGACTGTCATGGTGCCATATCTGTATTCCTTAGTGTAGTAAAGCACATGTATCCCTTCGTGCAATAAAGCAACATTGTCAATAATTTAAATTCACTGGTACTCTCCTCAGCAATAAACTGTGATGTGGCCAGTTGAGAGCAGAAAAATCACTCAGATGAAACCAGTTTTCAGAGGAACAAGATGAGCTGATTTGAAAACTCACGTAAAATAAAAAGGGCCATGAAACATTTTGGAACATTTCCGATGAAGAAGGTAAGTAGATTGTTCTCCTTTTTTCCTCTCTGTTTGACAAGACACCAGCAGTATGTAAGATTATCCATTTCACCAAATCTTCTCCAACACTTAGTGTTACCAGAATTTCCAATTTTTCCTAATTTGATGGATATGAAGTGGTTTCTTTATTTTCATAGAAATTTGTAGGGGTTCTTGATATATTCTACATATTAATCTTTCTCAGTGTTATGTGCTGAAAATAACCATTCCCAGTCTGAACTTTATTTTTTTTAAGATTTTATTTATTTATTTGAGATAGAGAGAGAGAAAGAGCACACATAAGCAGAGGGAGGGGCAGAGTGAGAAGTAGACTCCCCGCTGATCAGGGAGCCCAATTCGGGGCTCGATCTCAGAATCCCAAGAGCATGACCTGAGCTGAAGGCAGAGGCTTAACGAACTGAGCCACCCAGGCACCCCCCGCCCCATCTGAACTTTATATGAAATAGTTTTATACTGTAAGATCATGTCTTTTTTTTTTTTAAAGATTTTATCTATTTATTTGAGATAGAGAGAATGAGAGAGACAGAGAGCACATGAGAGGGGGGAGGGTCAGAGGGAGAAGCAGGCTCCCTGCCGAGCAGGGAGCCCGATGCGGGACTCGATCCAGGGACTCCAGGATCATGACCTGAGCCGAAGGCAGTCGCTTAACCAACTGAGCCACCCAGGCGCCCAGATCATGTCTTTCTTAACATTTTGTTAAAATTGGCCTGAAACTATCTGGCATTATAACCTCATCACTAAAATTGTATGTTACAGCTGGAGGAATAGATAAGCTTTAACAGAGGAAACCAAGTAGTCAAAAAATAGACCCACACACATATTTGAATTTGGTTTATGAGTAAAATAACTGTATGTCCCAGTTTGCCTGGGACAGTTTTTGCTTATGCTTGTTGTCTGAGCATTATTAGTTAATAATTCCCCCTTTAATTTCAAAACCTTTTTGGTTTGGATGAAAAATATATGTATATATGACAAGGGTGGACCTGAAAATAAATAGGGATACCAATTGCTGTCCATATAAAATTTTATCCATATCCTACACTATAACAAATAAAAGTTCACATGAATTGAAAATCTAAATATGAAAGAAATCTTCAAAACCTTTAGAAAGAATTATAAGAAAAGCTTTATAACATTAAGATGGGGAAGAATCTCTTGAAAATGACATGAAAACATGAACCATGTTAAAATGAAGTTTTTCTTTTGGAGAGCAACTTGACAATATGTGGGAAAGTTCAAAGGTGATAAAACCCTAGAGTCCATCTCTAATTACACGCTGAAGAGGCCTTTTGACCTTGGACAGCAAGGGACGTGTATGAGATGTTTCACTGCATCAGTGGTTATAAAAATTTAGAAACAACCTTATATGTGCATCGGTTTGAGGATAGATGAATAAATGAATAATGTTATTTTCATAAAATGGAATGCCATTCAGCAGTTAAAACAAATGTACCAAGTTAAAATTTGTGTGAAATCATAGAAAAATCTTGGCCTTTTTCTCTCCAAATTGATGGAGTCACCTGTTTCTTGCATTTTGCATACCAAGACTGCTGAAGACAAATGCAAATTTCGTCAAAGATTATTTTTGTGAAAGTAGACAAAGAGGGACACTATATACTTTTATATTTTAAGGTTTGCTAACAAACTCAGAATTAAAAAAAAAAAAACCACCCAATATATACTATATTGTGTTTTAGCTGCCCAGGAATATCTTAGATATAATGAAGAGTGAGGTTTTTGAAAAAGTTTTTAAGGATACATTTTAGAACTTAAACACTTCCAAAATTGTTATCCTGTCCTATGTTAAACTCATACATATTAATACAAATATACTAGTTTACATAATCCTTGAGAGCCTCCAGAAAAGAAACATTGCACATATAAGGTGAATTAAATATATTTTATGTTTTCTCGGGTAAAATTGTTATACCGTATGACTATCTCTAAGATTTGTTTTAATCTAAGTTTGCTTTTACATCAAATGCTTTGTATTCTCTATATCCTATTTCTGACTTGGGTTATTGAAATATTTTCTCGAATCCATTAAACTAATAAGTCCCTTAAACTAATATTTACCCTTGTCTCATGGAGGTTTGAGTATCTATCTCCATTGGACTTAAAGAATGTTTCTGCTTTTCATCTTTGGTTTCACTACTGGCCACCACTTTCCCACAGCATTGAAACTGTATATCAAGAGGCTAGAGGGATATCAGTCCTAAAACAAATCACTTGCTCCCTGAAACTTCCAATTTTATGTTAATGTTGAGGCCAGTCCAAGGACTGAGACTCAGGATCTGGACATAAATAGTATCCAAGGTGGAGGGCAGCATGTTCTTCGGTCCGCTCTAATTTTGCTTCTTCATCTCTGAGCTGAACATCTGTCTCCTAAATCCCATTTCTTTTTGCTTTTTCTCATGCCTCACAAATGGCAAAGTAGCTAATGGGAGAGCGTTAGGGCAGGGATGATGGTGAGAAGGATTTTAGTTGAACGATTAGGAACCTATTTCTGTTTGCTTCATATTTTAATGAGAACCTGGATTTTATTGTCGATACTATGATTTGCCCTGTTTGAGACTTCTTTGAGTAATTTCTTTAAAAAAGTCTTTCACAGAAATAACCATATTTTATATTCTGTATTTCTTCAGAGGCATCCAGGGTGTGCTCATCAGAATGTAAACTGGCAAATACTAGCATGCCACATAACAATGTGGAAGCCCGCTGACTTGTGAGAAGCATTGTACCTCATTTCTTTGACTGGCTTTTGCTATGTGGTAATTGTTAGGGAAACATCTGGTTACTGTCACATATTTGAGTATCCAATCTCATTGCGTGACATTTTGTTCTGTGACATTTAGTTCCCACTTAGGACTTGGAATTGAAAACCTAAAATTAAGTTCCATTTCCAACATAATAATAGGGAATTGTCCTGGATAATGATGTTTGAGTCTCTCTGTAATGGAATTTCAACATAGCACATTGGGGAAAAAATAATAGCAAATTGTTATCAGTGATTTTCTTTACAAAAATACAAGTACTTAGAAACTGTTTGGAGGGGCTGATCTGGAACTTTTCTTAGTTTTGAAAATAGTATCCTTTGCTTTCTGGACTCATGGTAAACTGAAATGAACTTTCTTATAGTGAAGTTCATATACTTACACATCTCTCATTTTATACTGACTTTTTTTTTTTCCTGTAAGGAAACATTTAGGAATATTCCTTTAAAAATGTCTGAGTATACTTTTCTAACCTTTAGGTTTTCCACAACGGAACTGCATCTATCATAGATTCTCTCTGCTGGTTCTTTCATAAAATAAAAAAGGAAGGATTTTTAGACAATTGCCATTTTGCCTCTGCATGATTTTGGCACTTAGCTCAGTGCCCATGGGCCTCTAGTTCATATCCTGAAACTATATTGGCAAACCCATTCTTAATCACTTATGCTGTTGGCTCTGTCCAAGCTAGTCCTAAAAATTGCTGCTTTCTTCATCAATTTGTTCCTAGGAAGTGTTGTGTGTGTGTGTCCTTAGGTTTCTCTAGTGGATTTATTAAACTCACATGTTACTTAAGTTAAAAACGGAGGCAGCCATCATTCAGAAGAAGGGCTAGTTGTTTTGCTACAGTTTTATCAAATAGTCCCTACCTCAAAAACAAACAAACTATACTTAACAGGAAGTCTTAGAACTAGTTCCAAAGGAAACAGACTCTGTGATGGAGATTTGCACGTAGGAAGTTTATGGGGGAGTGCTCTTAGACTGAACACCTGTGAGAGGTGAAGTAAACAGCTCTAGGCAAAGGGAAGAAAAGTTGATCTGAGATGAAGTCACAACAGATGTCTCAGCTGATCCCACAGGGACGACCCGTCAAATAAGGGATGACCCTTATTCCCAACTGAGCAAGAGGACAGGCTTTTATACCTGACATTGAGCTGTCTTTGGATGTTGGCTGCCACAGCAGGGACCAGAGGAAGCAGGCAACTTGCCTTTAGCACCTAGGGAATGAGTGCCTAGGTCCTGAAAAGGGGATCTGGGCAGGTGTACCATCCATTAAGTATGCAGGATTCTAAAAGCTAACCAATTTACTTGGAAACAAAGAGGATAGATAGGCATAGTTTCCCTCATTTCCCAATTTATTTGCAAAAGGATTAGACATGTAACAGAAAGCAGGTGGCTACACAGTGGAGATATGAAAAATATTTTGTGTGTTTTTTTGTACCCCCTATTCACTGTGGGCTGGATAGTTATCGTGTTCACTTTCTAGGAAAGTGAGGCTTTGTATTAGTTGTGGAAGAAAAGCTGAAATATTGTTAAAACAGTGCTATACTAAAGCATCTATAATTTTACTGGAAACCCTTGTGCTCATGGTGTTTATTCTTCCAAGTGAATATTTTAAAACATCAATCCCTCTTGGTTCTCAAACCAAACTTTCCATAGACGTTGGCATCTCCATATCCGAGGTAAGAAAGCTATGTCCATGCTTATGTTCTTTTTTATTATCTGTGCCTCCTTCATTCTGATGCCTCAGAAAGCCCATTTTTTTCAGGTGAGAAAATTACACTTCATAACCAAAGTACCTCCTCATGAGCTGGCCCAGAGCCCAGGAATCAACAGTGCTGAGAGAAGCATGATTTTAATATACACTGATGATCTAGTCAATGGTCAGAAAAAGATTTTCTGGAGAAGAATGAAATAATACATGAATTAAACCTGAAATTTTGTAATGACGTAATCTTCTTGAGTAAGTGTGGAGATTTTGAAAGTGACCCAGTCATTATTTTAGCACATTAGGAAATGTTTTATAAATATTAACAATTGACCAGTGAGAGGGCAGAAAGTCAACATGTATTGAGCACTTATTGCTTGCCAGTCATTATACAAAACAGTTAACAAATGTGAATATTCAATCCTTACCAGTGTTCCAAATGTTAGGAATTATTATTCAAGTTTTTTGTTCATTCATTTTTATCTTAAATGGGATAACTTTTGTAAGTTTACACTGCCAGAGAGTG